GTGACAAGTGTAGGTCTCCACCCATTGGAGTGAACGGCCGCCCATAGCTTTTCGTAGCAATTCTTTCGCCCTTATCGATTTTGCGACTGTGCGCTCAATTGCCAACCCGTTGTCTAGTCCTTGCGCTCAATGTCTCTTCCTCTGGACTTCGCATGCTTGTGCAGCTGCAAAGCTGGGGAGGGTCCTTCAGAGCTTTTCCGGGATATTTTACTTCTTCACACCAACACTAACCATGAGAAGTCAATGTGCACCTATGAATTCACATTTAGACTACACTGTCCATGACTTGGAACTGCGGAGTAAGTCTTCAAATAAGCCAATTCATAGTCTACGACTATAGACCAGCATTGTCTATAGAGTCGCTTCTTGCACTGCAAAATATAATATTTACTATCACAAAACCATATATTCGGCCACGTCAAACACATAATCCTTGAAGTAATATATCACAATTCCGGACGAGAAAGGTCATTAATACATAATGAATGGTCGGCTAAAAACTTCAAGATACCTCCTGAATGGGGTACGTCTCAGAAGTCAAATTTTGAGATCGCAAATGAACTGGTCGCTACGGTGGAAGTAAAGGCTTTTTCTTTTCCTTCACTTCTCTTTTTCTGCTTGTCGCGTGACGTCATGTAGAGATTTGCTTCGGCCTTTTACACTGAATTCAGCCACCTGAAGTGAAAACGTTACACTTGGCAGGCTGCAGTTTAGGCGATTTCGATGAGAAGTTTCAAGCGTACCTTCCGTTTCGCATCAAAATCCAATTGTTGTTTGTAAAAAATACAGTTACGCAACATTTCCGTACACTCCTCAAATGTCGAGCTGGACTTACGTATGTTTTCCACTGTGCTAAACAGTTATTTCATGACATAAGCGCTTAGACCACACCCTGTGAATGTGGAAAATCCAAGAAAGGGAACATATACGTATGGATCAGGAGAATCTGCGATTCGGAAGAACTAGGCGAATCCGGAGAACAGGCGACAGCGGGATGTGGGGTGTTACTTCCTAGTCGCGGCATCGCGCGCACTAGCCAGACTTATTGTTTACTCGTCTCAGGGCACTTGTCAACCGGGAAGCCTCTCCTCTCTTTCATTTTTTCTTCCTCCTTCCTTCTTTTCCTTCCTTCCTTCTCTGATCCCTCCTCCTTTACCTTCTCCCTCCAACTACTGGACTGGTAGATGCCTCGTGAAAATACCCCTGGACCCTCGCAGCGAGAGCACGTCTGGTTGACAACAGCCCCGTAACCCTTGTTTACTAGCCTGAGACTCACACAGAGAAAGGTGTCGACCATCAAGAAGGCGCAAAGACACAGAGAGTCCACCGCAGCGGCGCAGCCGCGCGTTGAGAGGGACTGGTTCCTGTGGGCGAAGCGTGTACGTCACCCGTCCTGCAATGTATAGTTAGTCGCAACCTCAAGCCGCGAGTCGGGAAGAAACCGCCCACATACGACGCACAAGCCAGTTGAAACAAGTCGAATGCTCCCTCCCAAAGCGCAGATTTCCCACATTCGCAACGTATGAACACTGATAAAATTTGGAAACATGAAAATTACGTCAAGGCATTCTCAAGATCGAACTGAACACCAGAGAGTAACGCTGTTTGCTGATTCAACAGAATTCTTCGATTCACGAGACCAGGCAGACTCCGTCCCACATGTTCTTCAAAATCATTGCGTAATGAAAAGTTAATCAAATGAGTGAACAAAGAAACCCACCTTGTAATCGGTAAAGAGCCAGCGATGGGTCGTGGTCAAGTATACGCACCGCATCCGTCAAGCGTTCTGCCACTTAACTAATAGTTTGTTGAATACACACTGTATGTACAGTCATGATCCGTGCAAGCGATAGAGCGTGTGAAACGGCGCGGATTAAAGCAGCGCAGCCAGATACCCCCTTTTTCTTCTAATGATGCCATCCTGACCGATACATCTGATGAGAAGTCTCACCAGGCTGCGCTCCAAGTCACCCCCGCTACACGCCCTATCGTTTGCTGGGATCATGACTGTGCCTACGAGCTGAAACCCTTCCGTCGCCAGGAGAGCAAGTCCGCGACCACAGAAGTGTAGCCCATTAGCCACTGGAACGGCACTGAAGCCTGGCGGTTGGAGTGGCTTGCGTTTGCTCGCACACCTTTCATCCGGCTGTTTGATTTCACCGTATTGGGGGGGGGAGGCACACAAGGGTGGCCAAGGTCGGGCAGATGACTGGCCTCATGGCGTAAAGGCTACAACGCTCCGAAGTGCTACTCCGTGAAGGAGGCCTGTGTCGTATCCACGTTGCATAAGCGAGAGGATGCCAATCTCACGCCGCTTGTCTTCCGGCGTTTCACAACCAGCGCGGAGAGTATACAAGCTGCTGCCAATCGCCAGCCGACAGAATAGTCCTCGGAGAGGAGGCCGGCGGAGCCCGGCCAAGGCTTGAGACGACCAACTCCTAGCGTGAGTTGAGAGACGACACCATTCTGTCGGCTGCCGGCTGGCAGCAGCTTATATACTCTCCGCCGCTGGCTTGCGAAACGCCGGACGACAGGCGGCTAGAGATTGGCATCCTCTTGCTTATGCAACGTGGATACGACACCTGTGACTGCCCAGCGAGTGGGTTATCCAAGCCACCACTCTCTCTATGAGGAAGCGCAGTCGAGTAGTGCCTATGACGTGTCGAATTGTGGGCGGAGAAAAAAAGAACACCAAGCTCGTAGGTCCAGTGCCGCGCGCTTTCGAGCGGCCTATTGCCAAACTTCTGCAGCTGTGGGCCTGCTCATTTCGTCCACAGCAATGGTCCACCTCACAGGATCATCATGTAGTGAGTGGTTTGAACTGTAGGCATATTGACTTGATATGTATATTGATTGATATTGATGTCGTCACAATCAATCATCAGGAGGCGTGAAAAGGGTCTACACTAGGCTGCATTTCTTTCCGATAGTGGCCGATTCAGATGTAACCCAACCACTGTGAGGAAATGACGCGGGTGGCCGACTTCATGCCTCTTGACACCGCCCCGACTGACCGCGAAGACATCAGCTGTAAACTCACACAATCGGCATCTGCTATCTAACTCCTTCGACTTCGCAGGATTTTGAGATGACATCTGATATCGAATAAGTTAAAAAGGTTAAAGCAAAACTTCAAAAGCAGAACATACATGGTCTTGACCTCTCGAGATGATAGATACAGAAGAAATCTATGATATTTT